ATAGGACTAATAAAAGAGACAAGGGAGAGAAATGCTATTTTAGAGACGCAAAATCTTTAATTAAAACTGATCCTTGGATTCAAGAAGAATCGAATTTCTTTATTGTATTATTTTTATCACCTTCGCGATACATTGAATACTTTATGCGATAATAAAATTTATAAAATTAAGGATAATGAGCCATGTTAGTTGCAGAATGGCAGTTTATTATCTGAAATGTAACAAGGAATCTGAGATTTTTCGAAGTAAATAAAAATCTTGAGATTACATTTTGCAGAGCTGTCCATTAAATGTTGTATATACGTGCATGGAATCTATATACAGTGTTTTAAATCGCGCAGAAACCGTGGATATCACTGTAATATATTCAAAATGAGTCGAGATAAGGTGGAGTCGACCAGGGTAAAATCGTGGATGTGGAGTTTGGGGGATGAGGCTAATGTCTTGGCATCTGGATATCTCGTGAGGCGTGGTTGCCGGATAGCTTTCTATCTATAGCTTCGCTTCCATGCGGCCCCAATCTCTTCGAGTACTTAGCGCGAAGAAAATGTCGTATGGCACTACTATATTTCCTCACTTAGCTTATTATTTTGAGCTTACGGAAGATTGTTTATATTTAATTATATATTAATATATTGGACGATGTTATTTTTATCATATACTTTTTTTTTCATTTTGTGCTAATTATTGTCGTAATAATAGTAGTGTGCAATGGTAATTGTTATAAAAATTGTGCAAAATAATTTTCAGAATTTAGGAGATTGACAAAAAGAATGATAAAATATTGAGAAATAATAATGTGATAGGTGAAATTGTATCGAACAGTAGCCTATATAATTTTATAATTATTATAACATTTTAAAGCAATATTTCTTCGAATAATATTAACATAATCAACAATATATTAGGCAATATATTAGCGATTATCGTCGAATAACTTTTGAATGCGAGATACGCATTGGCGATAGTCGCGCGCATATTTTTGCGGATAAAGTTATGCAAAACAGCGGGATGGCATATAGAATATGTACAGGGGCGGCGATAGATCCGCGTGGAAGGGCGATAGGAACGAAGAATGAAGAAAGATCCTGAGAGACTTTGCCTGATGAGGATGGTTCCCATGACGACGCAACCCCAGGAACACGAAATGGTCTAGCCATTCTTGACTCAATACCGAGTCGCCATACACTCACGTACGCTACGCGCTCAAGCTCACCACTACTTTCCCAGTCTTCAAACCCTCTTAAGCTTCTCTTCCTCCCCTTCCTCCGTTGTCCCTTGCATCCCATACCGCGCCGCTGTCCTTACTCAAATGGTATACCCCGCGCTTATACTTTGTTCCAGCCGTAGCTCTCTATTGTGTATATCTGGCGAATGTGACGTGAAATACAAACCAACGACCAGCTTAAGCTAATAGAAAAAAGATTGCACGACTGAACTTCGAAATCGCTCTATTATGAGATGTGTTGCGGTTTGCCGGGCGAATCAGTGGTTGTAAAGTTCAAAATCGAATACAAGATATGTCTGTCAGAGAAATAAAAAATTAGAAATATAATTGAATATCTTTGAATAAAAATTCAATAGTAATTTTTTGAAAGTTATAGACTTTACACAGGATTTGTTGCATATTCAATCATATAATAATGATAATAACAGGAATAAGCTATAACAAATATTAACCAGGCTAAGTTGTATTTATTGAGCTGATATAAATCTTATAATTAATAATCGAAAAATAAGCTTGTTATGTTTGTAGATGAAAATAATATGATCTTCATCTAAAAACAGCAAAAGAAAAATTTAGAAATTTTTGCTAAAGTATATATATAATATTAATTTATATTTTTTGTTTCAAAATTAATTTCACACAATTTTAAAACAAAAGATTTACCATATTCCGGTGCAGCAATGTAATTTGCAAATTGAAATTGACTAATTGACTTTACACACGTTTCGGAGGAGATATATGTCACAAAATACCACGTTAAATGAGAATTCACTTGTCGCTTTCATCAGGCGTAGTATGCGCTAGTTCTTCGTCTCGCTAGGCGCACGCCACTGCCATATTGGATGCGCTCCTCGAAACGTCGGATTGGTCGTCCGGTCGTAGCGTCGGCCTCCGAAACGGGAGGGCGTCCCGGTGCCAACAGCATTGAAGCGCCGAAAGGCGTCTTGACGCCCCGCTTGGAACTGGCACGCGTCACATCACACAGTTATGAGACGCGATATTCTACTCTTCCATCCCTGCACTCCGCAACTCCGACAAGCCATTTCGCATAGTGAACATATTTTCATTCTCTGTGCACTTAAAATGTATGACCCAGGAAATAAGGTCTGTGCCTTAATTAAGTGATTTTTTCGTCTTGTAGACAACTGAGACGTTTGGGTATTGTACTGTAACGAAATGCTAATGATATAATAACATATTTTTACGTACATTTGTGAATGAGAAAATATATGAATGAATAGATACTATATTAGATGATTAGTAAAATCATAATTTAGATTATTGTTGTTAACGTATTATTATTTTAATAACAGAAACTTGATATTTGGAATCTCAGCGAAATGTTCTCGAAACGGCACTCTAAATTCTACATTTCATTTTCGCTGTCCGGTGGGAATTAAGATATTTCATCGTCTAGAGAAGGGTTGACTTTTTTAATCATCTCGCAGGAATTAAATCTCTTACTATGCTATGTTTAGGGCTGCTGCATAATGAAAGATAGGGCGAAAGAGAAAGAGAGAAGACTCCGAGAGTAATAGAAAGTTTTCTGTCGTATAAAAGATTCAGGAATTCCAAATGAATGTTAAATTACACCCGTCTGCCATATAAAAATGTTTCTACAAATGTTTTGACAAAACAATTTACATTTCCAGTTTCTGTTTCGAATAATACTTTTAAATTAGATGTAAAACTACGAGCAAATTTGAGATGCTTAACATATACTCGAGCGACGTAATATTTCAATACTCTGAAAGTAACAGAACTTTATTTCTATCTGAAGCTGAAAATAGAAAAGAGATAAAGGGCGAAGTGTTCGACATAATGAAAACTGTAGAAAGATACACACACACACAGTGTTTGTCTGAATGTATTATGAAGTGCTAGAAAAAATATACGATTTTTTAAAATTACTTTTTCCTCTATTAAGAATTACAGGAAAAATATTTGTCTAATATAAACCGAATATTGTTTTTAGTTTACTAAAATTGTCAATTTTTTGTTTACAATTTATTACTTGGTATCTATTGAAAAATCTATTGATTGCATATTATTGCAACAAATTTTTTGAGATATCAACAATGATTGATCGATCTATTATTATCACTTTCATTTATTGTGATATGCTGGGAGTAATATATTTCATGTTTGCTTATTTTAATTAAAAACGTCGAACATAAAAAAATTAAATTTTATTCAATTCAAAGATTCTGAAGCTTATCTTATAATATTATTAATTTTGCAATTCAAAAAATATTGGCAAAATACATACGTAAATATTATGAATGAATATTACGAATTATATGAATTATATATAAATTATATATAAATATTATGATATACGCAAGATAATATTAAAACTAAGCAAACTTACGCTCAAAATGGCACGTAACCGTTGAGAAACACGGGACTTTTGATTTGATTACACAAGTGTACGCCTGAAAGGGGTTACAGTTGAGTGACAAATGGGCTGGTTCTCCCGAATGTTCTGCGTGAGTAGACCATGCGTGTGAGTTCACGAGTGTGGGCATCCTGGCAACGTCATCCCCTTGGTGACGAGAGAAATGGTAGGGAACCAAGAGCTTTCTCGTGTACGATTGTTGTACACTCTCGACCAATCTCCTCCGGTTTGCACAGGCCGAGTTTGCCAAACGCGTTTTTCTCGACCTTCCTTCATCCCCTCTCGCGATAACCTTAAAAGTAATATTCCTCGTAGCACGTCCTACCCACATTTTGCCGATACTATTTCTCCCCTGACTGGGAAAACAGAACTTTTTGCCTCTTTTTGTGATATTTAGGGAAAAGCTAAACGATTTGTATTGCACGAAAATGCTTTTATTTATATAAATGTATTTTTAAACAATTTTCTCGATATCATTGAACACTTTTAAGTAGTAACGTTATTATTGTAACTTGTGAGATGAATTAAAATTGTCACTAAAATAAATATAAATAATCTCATGTTAACGTAAAAAAATTACATAACAAATGTACAAGTCATACATAACGAAGAAATTAAGAGAAAGCAAATTTGATCAAATTGATCGAATTAAACATTTTACAACCGCAGAGCGATATCTGCCTTTTTTATTTGTTGTTTGTATCTTTTTTTTATTTCAAGCTTTGATTTGAAGTTCCAATGTAAATTTATTCTCTGAGATTTGATTCTGCGAATTCTTCTTGAGAGCATTTCTACATTTTTCACAGCATATGTGATAAATTGAAATTCATAGATGCATTTTTTGATTTCGAAGAGAATCACAGCTAATTTAATTGCTTTGGCAATATCTCTTTCTTTGCGTGAAAATTTTCAATCTTCTAGTATTCATAATGTTTCTTTATTTAAATATAATGTACAAATATTCTAGAGACGTAAAAACTTACAAAATACTCCTGCATTATTATATGGAATAAATAAATTGAATTTTGCGAATTGCTAAATTTTGGAGAATTAAGTTATATTTTTAAAATATTAAACTTTTTAGTAAAAAATTATTTATTTTAGTATAAAGTGGATAATAAATGTTCTATAAAGTTGATGAAACTGGTAAGAAAAACGGCATATTCAGTAAAACTATGTCTCTAATTACAGGAAGTAAAACGAAATAAGGTTTTGTTGCGAAGTTGCATTAATGGTTGTATAAGGTAGAGAACTTTTATACCTGTCGTGATAGAAGCTGCTAAAAGTCATATAAAACTTAGAATGACATAATTCATTATGAAAAGCAATGAACAGATCATTTAATTTGTGTTTCCGGTTTTTTTTCTTTTGCAGGCTGACGTTTTTCTTCTTAGAACTGTAAATAAAAGGCCTCAAAGTGTACGGCGCCGTGGAGAAGACGTTTCACCCGTTCGAGCTGAGCAGCAGGTAAGCATCTTTTGAATTAGTGTCTTTTATTATTAATATAATAATATTATAATAAAGATAAAATTTGTTATTATTAGCAGTAATATGCTTGGACGATAAAATCATTCATAATTTGATAAACATATGTACATAATTTAATTGTAGTATTTTATTAAATATTTTATATGTACAAATTGTTGCAAATATTGCAAATAAAACTCGTAGTTTGTAATAACACAATCTGTTTTATGTTGCAGGCTTTCCCGCGTGTTCCCCGGAACGCTGCCCGGTATACAAGGTGAGTGACATAATATTGATTTTAATTTTTATCAATCTGTCTTTTGTTTTTTGCTTGTTCGATTACATAAAAAGTGGAGAATATTTATCTTTACGAATGTCAAATTAATTTAAATTGATTAAGGCGACTTGATTGAAGATTGATTTAAACCAATTTTAATTAATTTACACATTGGCAAATATAAAATTAAATCGAAGAAAGCAACATGTAATTGTAAATTATATATGTGCATAATAATATTTATATTATGTGTATATTACATATATGTTATTTGGACGGATAATAATCTGAAATATGCTTACATAAATAATTGTTTGATGAAATAACACAACATAATTCGTTGATATATTTAGTTTAAACTATATTTAGTTTATGTTGCGGGATAAGTAAAGAGTTTTAAACACTGCAATTTTTAAATACTGCATGAATACTGCGAATATTTAAATCGAATTGGACATAGTATTTGTTATATTGTTATAGTAAAAATGTTTTAAATGCTGAAAGATAATTTTTAATTTGTAACTTGTTATTTAATTGTGTTTTTGTGTGTGTATGATATTATATTTTTATGTACCAAATCTATGAAAACATATAAATCGATTTAAATTAGTTTTTATTGTAATACAAATTAGAAAAGAAAAATTTTAAGTATAGCAAAAATCAATTAGCTATACATATAACAGAATTTACATTTGTCTAGTAGTGCACATTTATTAAAATATTAATTATCGATGTTCAACAACTTTCTATTTATTATTTTAAATAGAAAATTCGAAGGTAGGTAAATAGTTATCTTTTTATTAAATAAAAAATCATTTCTAAGGTATCTTTTGCTAGCTCAATAGATAATCTCTTTTCGTAGGTAAATAAAAATGTTAAATAATTTAAGAATATTCATGTGTGAACACTCATGTGTGATACTTGGCAATCAGTCGATACCATGGCGCCATACGTAAAAACTCGAGTTTAGATATTTACAATAATGTAGGTGCGAAATATGTGAATTTTTGGCGATAGGTTTTTTTCCGCGTCAATATCTGCGGGTTAATTCGCATTAATGCAGTGAATAATCAGCTTTGAAAGCTCAAGTGAAAATCTGACGATAAATCCGCTATTTCCTAGGTACGTACTTGCAGTAAACAGAGGATTGTATACAACCGCGTCGTACTAAGCCCATAGCTACTAAACCACGCATACTACCTATAAATGGGGCTGCTATAAAGTCCATTCATGATCGCGTCGCCTGTACAACAAACGTCGGGTGGCTCGCGCCTCTCCTGCGATTTATTACACTCGTATTCAAGCACGAGTTGTGTTTCCTACTTAGTACATGTGTACGCCGACACACGATCGTGCTCGAAACCGTCTCATTGTCTGGCTCGCCGATGACAGACCAATCGACCCTGTTTTCGTTTCCGTCGCTGAAATGTTAATCATATCATAATCAGGCATACCAGACGTCACACATTTTTTAATTAGACATTTTTTTTGAGGAATTTTTGAAAAAAACATGTCTAGATATTTATATAGTATTATTATTTATAAAAAAATAAGCAGCGTCGAGAAATTAACCGCTAGCATTTTACATAATTTAAACAAAATTCAAAAAGAAGCTATAAATTAAATTAATTGAATTTTTTTATATTTTAAGTCAGCACGGAATTCTCAAAAATTTTAAAATTATTATTTTTAATTATTAATATGTAATCATTAAAATGTGATTTACCCTCGCGAGTAGAGCAATCCGGTGGCACACGACACTGACATGGACAGTCAGATGGAAAGCATGTATGCTACCGGAGTTGTTGTCAGACCGTTTTACTTTACTGCCCATAAAAGTACCGAGATTTAGACTGCAATAGTGTCATGACGTATTGCCCGCGCTGCGTGTACGGAGACGTACACACTATCAAAGATGATTCCGGCTGCCACAAGGCGTAATCCATGAGAGTATTTCACCTACCATGTGTGACGTCTCGTGAAAAACAGGCGAGAAAAGTTTGGATACGTTCTTCATAAAAGTTTGACAATTTGTACGTTACTGCTTGCATGTAAAAAGACATAATTATAACAATGAACGAAAATGTCACAAGAAAAGTTGATACGTATGTGTCTTTCAAGAAAGGAAAAATTTTTTATTTAAATTTACGTGTATTAAATATCAAAGAATGAAAATTACTCTTATTGAGAAGCTTGGTTATCTGAAACAAAACACTAGTATTCGATAAGTACAATCATAAGGCAATCATTAAACTTTTGATAAATTATCAGTGGCATGAATCTATTAAATATAATTATAACTGAAATTAATGACAACATATTTTCCAAACAACGTCAGCATTTAATAAAAATTTATTTTGATATTGTAGTTATATTATGCTTTTTAGTATGGCGAGAAAAATTAGGAGAAATTTTATTCAGTATTATAAAAATGCTAATAAAAACTTGTTTCTCGAAATAATAATATTCTTAATATTATACTTTATAATGACAGCTTTTTATCAATTAGTCGGCAGTTAATTTTATCGGTCTGTCATCGATCCGCATTCGTAATAAATTAATTTCCTCGTTTATTGTAAATCGAGCGTATTCAGTAGCATATTGAGATTTGGCAGTTCGCAATACTCCACGAAAGGCGAAAGACGCAGAGACTCTCCGTAAGATAGTTGCTATGTTTGCGTTCGCTGGCTCTCTCGACGACGGAGAAGGAAGGAAAGCAGATTAGAGCGCGCGCGAAGGAAGGGGAAACGCGAAGAAACGCGCGCGAGGAAGAAGCCGTCGCTAGGAGGGTGGGAAGCGAGTCCGGGCTTTGCTTGTCAAACGATCCGGGAGATCGCGCTCGCGTCACTTTCGGCTCCGTTCGACTCCAAGCCGCGGGCAGAGCTCTCAGTTGACGCTCAGTTCGGCTCAGCGAGGCCAGCAAGAAGAAAGGGGGTTATTCCATGTGTGCGAGCGTCGTGCGTGTGTGTATCGACGCACGATCCTCGGGCACCGGAGCTACCTGCTGAAAATTCTTTTGATTACCGAGGGGTGATTCTACCTGACTGACTCGAAAGCCATGCGAGAGATAAAAGGATTTCGGTCCGATCAGGAATACGCTCTCTCTCCTTAGAAACTTCGGACTTTGACGCGCGACGACTCCGATTCTACGACTTTGATTTATTCGCGATTCTACGTCGCTAGTGTACGGGTTTCGTGATCGAAGAGACTGCAACGTATTACATCTGTGCGGAACTTTAATAAAGTGCACGCGAAATTTCTTCGCGATGGGAATGACAGTAAAATGTGACAGATACAGGGCGACATACGACCTGTGTATAGTCGGTCGTGGGACGATGATAGCGCAATTAGTGGCGCAGTGAGTTGGCCCGCCGTGAGAGATCGACGATTGCCAAGTGTACCGATTTGGTGTATGTTACAAACGCGCGCTATAATTTTCAACGTTTCTGTCTTAACACTAAAGCGCGGCGATTGCCGCTCCGAACTTTTGTCGAATAATGCACTCTTTATAAATCGCGCTGTGTCATTTGTTTTCGTTTCAATCTACATCCTGCATCGTTGGATCGACCGATTGGACTTCCGCATCTAATATCGCTCGACGACCTGTTAACCGATCCACATCGACGACGTTCGCACGTGGCTCGTTTGCCGCTGTCACATCGATCATCCTGCTCGTCGTTGCCGTCCTCGTCGTCGTCGTCAACGTCGTCATCGCCGCGCGTGGACCTTTTGTCGGCGGATTCGCCACGCACTTTATCGCGCCTCCGTCTATCCGTTCGTGCCTCTCCGCTTCTCCGTCCCGCGTTTACCCCTCCACCTGTCTGCTGCGGCGCTGCACACCCTCTCTCCCGCCGCCCAACCCCTCATCGGACGACGCGCGTACCCGCACGATTTTCCCTATCCCCACCCGTCTCTCTCTCCTGCTCCTCGCGCGTCACCGCGTCATCTTCTGCACACGCTGCTTTCTTTATTTACTCCGTGAATTCACGGATCAACGTAACCTGTCCGTTCACGATGAGCGCTCCTTCTCTCGCTTCTTCGTGAAAATCCTCATCACCCATCTTTATCACATTTTCTGCTGTGAAACCTGTTTGCGATCTACGTTATTCTCCTTTCAATTAATATTCCAAATATTGAAAAAAAAAAAAATTATCCGTAATTTTCCACTCCACTCTTACGTTGTTCCTTGGATCATGATGACCACGCGGCGACTCTCGTATCTTGGGTGAACTTTAATCGACTTGTGCTCTACGCATCGCCCGGACCGGCTGCGATAATCACCGGACTCTTACGGCGGTCCACGCTGATCGACGCCGACATCGGCATAAATATTGTTATAACACCGGCAATAAACCGTCATCATCTGCACCATCGCCGATCACGTGGCTTGCTCGACGGCGACGCTGTACGATAATGTTCACGCCGCGCCGCTATGTGGCTCCGGCGTGGGCCACCCTGGCTCGGTCACGCCGATGGGAGCAGCAACCGGAGCGGGGAATTCCACCGGGGTGACCTGGTGGGCCATGATGAACGGTTCCCTCTACGAGGACAGCCCGCCGCCAGTTCCACCGACAGCCTCGACCCTCGTATCGATTCAACAGCAAGCCACCTCAACGCCTCATCAGCAAGCGACAACGCCGACTTCACCTGGTGCACCGGTGTCATCGGCAACGACAGCGCCACCGGCGCCGACAGCGAGTGCAAGTTCAACCTCGCCGAGCGCTTCCTCGGTAGCGAGCAACAGCGCGGCCGGACCACTTCACATACCCGCCAAGAGATTAACAGCTACACCGGGCGGCGGTGGTTCCACTTACGGAGAAGTCGGCTGCGTGGAGGCTACAGGCGCGCCGGGCGGCGCGGGCGCGGCGGGCGTGATACGGCACTCTCACTCGTCCTCGGCGGGATCTCAAGGCGGCTGGAGTTATAGTCCGCATCATCCTCAGGACTCCCACTACTCGTCCACGGCGGGCGAATCGTTGAACCATCATCAGGCATACGGGGGTAACAATCCCCCCACGTATTACAACCTGGCGGCCGATCCCACCTCGACCTCCGGTTCCTCCAGGGACAACCGGAAGGCTGGCATTAGCTTTTGGTCGCCCGCGGCCGCTACCGCTGGATCTGCTGGTACCGCCGGTTCTACCTCGGATTACAAGTCCTACAACTCGGCCGGCGCGGCCACGACCTCCTCGTCCACCGGTGGATCCAGCGCTGGTGCTACTGGCGCCGCCGATCCGGCCGTGTCGTCTTGTCATCAGAGCTTCTCTCAGAGCTGGTGCAATTACGCGCCGTACACAACGGCGAGGCATCATCATTCGGTCGACACGGCCGGACATCATCATCCTCATTCACAGGCGGGGGTACCGTATCTGACGCCGTCCGCGGCGGACGATCGCGGCAGGGTCGCCGCTGCTATGGTCGCCGCGGAAGGTGCTTTCCCTCACGATGGATACGGCGGTCTGAGAAACTACGGAGCGCCGGAACCCGTTACTTCGAGCCCCTATCCACCTCCAGGTAAGCATCTACTCCGGCTCGTTAATCTCTTGTTTTTATCCCTTCGCACAACTGGTTTCTTAAATCTATATCTCTTGTAAATTTATATACTATTTTCGTAAAAGAGATTATTGCCGCTAATAATGTCTTTATTTATCGAATGGATTATCGTTGAGTGGAGAAAAGATCTCTTTACTCTTAACAATATGTAATCATCTGTTGTTTGCAATGTAGAACTGTTGTTTACACTCTTATACAACGGAAAGGTCGTAAACCTCAGGTAGTTTTCGCAGGTGCCATAAATTGACATAATATTCTTCAGGCGCTACATTAAAAAAAAAAAAATACTCAAAATTAATTAATTAATGATATAAAATTTACATATGAATTCGTTGATTTTATTTCAATTTACACATGAATTTGTTGATTTTATCTCAACAATTAAACGAAATAAAACACTTTGAGAATCGAAACGCGTACTATGACAAAAAGATCGCCGCTAATTTATACTAATTGCACATGACTTCCTATTATCGGTGTCTTGAGTATTCTTCAACAATCTTAACGAACTTATATCGGCAAGTAAAGACTGCAGTTATCGTTCATTCACATCGTTCTCTTTTGTGCTGCCTCCTTTCTCCGTCCTTTTCTCGGGACCCTGCAACCCATGAAACGTCGCATGAGCAACAACGAACGGCGGCGGGTTTATTGGCGGCCGTAACTCGTAAACTCTGGCGCGCGCCTCCGATCAGCTGATCCGTTCCATGACCCATGCAGGCGTTTGGTCTTTCCGGCTAACGGCGTTCGCGCGCTTGTATTGTCATGACTATATCTTCCTATTTTTGAATTTTTCTTATATCAATTAATCTTTCATAAAATTGTTATTCTGGCGTGTGTTCTTTACAGAGAGTATTTGCAACTAACAGATATTTGACAAGATTATTGACAAGCATTATATTTTGTTAAATGGATCATTAATTTTTGTGTTTTATTAGTCGCGGTATAAATCACGGTATTACAAAATGCTGCGCAAAAATAACTTTTGTAACATCATTTTATGCATCTTTTATTACGTTACAACCAATATATCAAGGATTGTAAATTATATTCACAATGATTATGCCGCGATGTCAATACGAGTCCTTCATACGCGGGAGAACATTTGAATTTCATAGCAGGCATATAAAAACCGTATTTGATCGATCGTTGCGTTTCGTTCTTTTCTTTTATCCTTCTGAAAGATCATTGCATCGCCGGCGCATACGACACGGCGCTCGTTGTCGCAATTTATTGTTACTTTGTTGCTCATGCGACCGCCATCGACGGCGCTCTGATAACGGAGATAGCATTCGCGTGATCAGCCGTGAGTTAATCATATGCGCGCGATGGTAGAGTGTGTACGCAAGCGTGCTGTACATGTAAAACAGTGAAATGTGGGCTTCACGTATAGTTTAAGCGTGGCCCAAGAGATGGCGGCTCCATTATCTTTGCCCGTTCGTTCAGCACCAGAGAGCGAGTTCACCGCTTGCTCCGTATCGCGCCGAGCCCATCCTATATTAGTCCGAATAATCTTCGAGGAATTAAAGTTGGCCAGGTGTCTCTACGCAACGTTTCTCTGCGTGCGAGATATTATCTCTTCACGAAAATGCAGATTGCTGAGCATTTATTTGTACGCATTTAATATCGTAGATTGGTGTTCCGAGCTTAATTAAGTCTTTGATGTCAGCCGGTCATCATTATGCGTACATATATCATGGGCTGGAATAAATTTGGTATTTCAAATATAACTTTATCAAGTCACCGGTTCTTCCGAAATCAAGCATTCCGTCCATTTATAAATAATAAGATTTTAATAGTCCGTTTAAGAGGATTGTGTTTGCTCTTTATGTAAAAATATTTCATTTTTTAATTCTTCGAAATAAAATCATATTATTGAATGCAAAATTAATCAGGAATGTGGCAATAATTAGTAAGTTTCATTTCCCGTGAATATTTAAATTAGTCACATTTTCGTAATTTTATTCATTACGTGTAATGTGATATTAACTTTTCTTTGGTATGATTTTGATTAGAAATTGTGTGTTTTAATTTACACAAAGTAATAATGAAAATATGATAGATATAAAAGATATTGAGTTGTTCCCAATCGATATTACACTTCCGTTACACGCGACAACCCCAGTTATGAACCCTTCGACTATTTCTATCAGGAGCTCGGATATCACTCGGGGAAATTTGCTGCAATTTCTGAACGATCTCCGAACATCTTTCAATCTTCACATATCAACTCGTCTTTTTTATTATTTTTTTTATGGAGATCATGACCTGTTTTATTTAAACTTTCAGTATTTTTTGGAATACACATTGTACTATATAAACTTTGTAACGCTTTAATTGTAAATAATATCTTTGATTTTTTTGTTAATTAGTATTAAAAGAATTTTTTATTAATATTCTAAATTTATTAAAACAGTTATATTATTGCTGCAAAAAATAAATATTCCATAAAGTAAATAAATATTAAAATTTACAAAATTTTTTAGAAAAACAAGATTTTATTTTTCTTATTTCTTTTTATTAAAATGTCTGTTTTAAAATTTAAAAATTAAGGATGGAATAATAATCGGGGAAGTCAAATTTTTTGTTTGTTTGTCTAATAAATGCGATATTTTATTGCCATTTCAAATACTATAGTTTCATATTAGATTAATAACGCGCGTTTATATTGTTATTTTATACTTTAAAGTGAGAAAAAAATTTATAATTTTAATGGTAATAAATATACATATAGAATTGGTTGGGATGAAAATACTTATATGACATCCGAGATATAGTGATATTGCGCGGATGGAGTCCATCACAAGCATATGTTCCGACGGGTCACACAATGCATCCAGCAACAGTGTTTGTCCAGATCTTAGATAGGCTAAAAATACACGATCCGGTCTCTTCGAAGAATACAAAATTTTTGTGTACTGAAATTTTATTTTACCAAAATTATTTATTTAAATTAATTATTCTTCTCATAATTATCGATGATATATAATTGTAATTATTATAATTATAATAGTCGTATGTATTTTTTTAAATACAAAATTGATCGAACCAAAACGTTTCTAGAACGCTTCATATATGTATAGTGCGTGACATTACTAGTTATCATTTTTTACGACTTGATAAAACGAGCAAGCGGTGCGCTAAAGCGATATCATCATTGGATGATCATTGGATGTTTAATCACAAAGATATGTTGTAATGTTTTTGTACGATATAAGCCGCAGCAATATTCGCGAAACATTAGTACTTGATAAAAATGTTAAATACGTGTGGCATCTCGCCGGATAGGAACAATTTTGTTACATTTGCATACGCCAAGGAGGCGTTTATCCAGTCCATGGCTGGGTTAAAGATAGACAGATGAGTCGCGAGCTTTCGTAATCGTTTCGTTCCACTGGCACGGCTTTCCTGTATATATCTTGCATCATTCTGCCGTATATTTCGTTTTAACAAATGCATTTGTGTCGCACTACATTCTGCAACGGAGCATACTATACCCTGTTAAAAACCACCATGCGGTCAGACGTTAGAGAACCTAAGAACGGTTCCGTGGCTCCGGCAACATGTTTTTCGTGCGGTTAGTAGAACCGGTCCAATTATATCATACCACTGTGCCAGGAACGGCCGTGGCAACCCTCGTGTGCTTGTATACACATGTATATATATGTATATACGTACGAGTAACGTGCACGCGCACACGCCGTTGAAGTGCACGCTTTGAGATTCGTAGAACTGTTCCAGGCGTGAATTTTGTCGTTAATATGCCCCATGCGGATCTAATTTCCTCTACAGAATCCTTATTCAAAAGAGAACGATAAAGGTGAAAGGATCAAAAATGATAAAATGTTACACTTTTCGAATTATCATTTTTACAGCTTAAAAATTGAAACAAACTTTTATTTTTAAATGTCGAGCAACACATTTTTTTAAGAATTAATAAACAAAATAAAATTTTTTAGAAAATAAAAATATATAAAAAAGATCGGGCATATAAAAGATGATTACATTAGATTATTTTGTATGTAAATTGCTTTATTCATTTATTTTTATTAGAAATTTATACGGCATAAATAGCGGTAATTTTAACATCTTTAATATAATTGCACAACCGATATAAATGTCCGATACTGAATATCTGTTTATTTTTTTTATTTTGTTGTTTGTGACATTTATGATCTTTTTGGAATCAATAGCGTGTATTTTCGTGCGTGTTATTTTAATGATTTCTCTATTAGTATGATAAAATCGTACGGCATGATATTTTTACATATTAAACTATTCAGCAGAACTATTTGTAACAAATATTATATGAATCATTAGGTGGAATCTAAACAAATAAGAGTTTTTAAATATTAATAGAGATTTGAGGGTACTAAAATAATATTATGTTTTTTAAAGAGTAAAAATTAATACAAGCTGTAAACATTAAAAATAATCTATTTGCGTAAGAAACATCGATAGAGTTGATTTATTAATAAATTCCCTTATAGCAGAATGTCTTTGAATAATTTACTACACTAATTAAAGAAGTTCATTAAAAGATGCCTGAATTCCTCCATCCATAATTAGCGGCAATCTTAACATCTTTGATGTAATTACACAACTGATGTAGTGTCCGATGTTGAATGTCCGTTTTATTTTTTCGTTTTTGAGATTTACGATCTTTTTGGAATCAGTAGTGCGTACTACTTTCGTGCATACTACTTTGTGTGCTATTTTAATGATTTATTTCAGAGATTCTAAATTGATAAAATCGTGTATTACGGGATGATACTTTTACATATTATACTATTGTATTGGCAGAATTATTTATAACATATTATTACAACGTTTACTAAACAAAAGAGAAAAAGGAAAAAAGTAGCGGTATCGGTCACGCGCCGATACACCGATTAACGAACCGATGCATTTGCGCTCATTTCTGCCAGTCACTCTGTAGTAATGACTAGTGGCAATAAAAAAAAAAAAAAAAAAAAAACAAGCACACAACCGCTTTCTTCATACAAAATCTGCTCGAATATATCGACGAGTTAATGGAATCGCAAGAATTAATGTAAACGTAAGAGTTTTAATGAATGCAATCTTTATTTCGGGGATTAATTTAAATTAGACTATAATAATCTGTACAAAGTCATAAAAATAGTCCAATCTGTTGTGTGAATTAGCATCGTTCAATCGGCATCGTCGTTCCTTTTGAGTGGAAATTCTTTGACGCATATTACTAGCTAGCAGCTAGGTTGTTTTATCATCGGCAAACTAATTGTGTTAAGTGATGTGGGGTTCCTCCCCATCTTCCTTGTTTCCCGCAGGTTCGCTTGCGGGTGTAGGCGTCGGGGTTGGCGTAGCCGGGATGGGAGTCGGATGCGGCAGCTCCAATCCCTTGGAGTGGACCGGACAGGTGACAGTGCGGAAGAAACGCAAGCCTTACTCGAAGTTCCAGACCCTCGAGCTCGAGAAGGAGTTTCTTTTCAACGCCTACGTGTCGAAGCAAAAACGATGGGAGCTCGCGCGCAATCTGAATCTCACCGAGCGCCAAGTTAAGATCTGGTTTCAAAATCGTCGGATGAAGAACAAGAAGAACAGTCAGCGGCAGTCGCAGCAGCAGAACAACAACAATAACAATAGCAGCAGCGCTAATAATGCAAATCACCATGCGGCAACCGGCAGTCACCACCATCCGAGCACCGCGCACGCACCACCCTCGAGTCACCACGTGGTAGCGCAGGCGCATCACGCGAACGGCTCCACGAAACATCATCAGTGACCCGTGGCCTTCTCTGGGGTCGTCTTCGGGCACCATCATCACAGCCACACCTCATCCAGCAGCGGTGGCAGCCACGGGGGCAGCCATAGCAGCCTGGTAGCAGGTCATAGCCATAGCCTCCACGCGCCGCAGTCTCAGACGCCGCTGCCGCCGATTCACGTGTCGTCGTCGGGCACCGTGACGCCCGCCACGGCCGTAGTCCATCCACACACACACGCGCACGCACACACCGGCAGCCACCATCATCAGCTGGCGCACGTGGCACAGCAGTATCCTGCGCTTTTACATCAGACGCCTCACGGCTTGGCCGCCTGAACGCACTGGACGCCCCAGAGAAAATCCCATCGAGACGCCTCGCGGAGAACCGCGGCGATTCCATAATACCGTCGATCAATATCTACGTCCACGGGAACGATGAAAAAATCCTCATGGACTCTGTCGAGCAGCCGTTTAAAGACTGCCCCTACTAAGGAAAGATAAAGCTCGCGCGTAGTATATTATTAATTATTAATTATTATTATTATATATTAATTATTATTATTATTATTCGACAAGCGAAGATTTCGCTAATGTATAAAAAGGGCGCGTTTGAGGCCACTGCTTCAAAAAACGGCCCGAAGACTCTCTTTTCGAACATCGGTGCCCGATGCCTGTATTACGCGAGTAATACGCGTCATCGTGCGACACCAAGCAATCTGTCCAATTCGTAATTCGGTAGTATTTTCTCCAGTTATATATATATGCATAAAGTAAAGAGGTAATTAATGTCACTTAGTGTACCCCTACTCCTCCCACCGCCCCAAAGCCCCCTCTCTTTCCCCGCTCCAGTCGCATCGTGTGTTTACTTCGTCTTTACATTGCCGAACCCGGCTCGGCACATTGGAGATTGGAATGTATCGTTGCAGCTAATCCGGCGCTGATCCAATCAGACACCATTGATTTTACAGTTAGGCCTGGATGGTCCGTCGAGAATCGCAGGTTGTAAAGTGGATGGGTCGCTTTTAGGGGTAAGTGGACTCACTGATCTCGAGTAAGTGCATGTGCATCCTTAAATTAACCTTTCACTTCAACGCTCGCGTTTAAGATTTACAAATCTTATCGAGTACGACTAACACTAAAGAACTAGTATTAGCAAAAATTTTTTGTGGAACGTTATTCGCGCTTGTATTTATTTTTTATGTCATTTCGAAGCAAATTATCGTAAGAATTTCATTAACAAATTGATTAGTGGTAAATATCTTTTTCTTAATATACGATAGTTTTACAATATTTGATTCAGACTTCAATCATTGTCGATAAATGCCATGCTTATCTAAACACTTGCTGTGTAGTCCACATTTATTGGAATGCGTATTATCTACAATGATGATTCTCGACAGAGGAGGAAGGTCAGAATAGTTCGCAATTTATATAAATGCCTTCTTCCTTCGCTATTCAGTTACTTGTCTGCTGTAATTAAAAAAAAGGGTGTACTAAATTATGAAGTCAACGTAGAACACGAGCGTATTCGGAAAAAATTAGCTAGTTACGTCCACGATGTTGTACTAATTGCCTACCAAGGATCGCAAATTAGTACCTATAATTCTTGTATTGTATTGAAAAAAAAAAAACAATTTATGTTAAAAGCATACCTAGTAGTCAGACTAGTGAGTGGTCGAGTGGTGTACCGTTCTAGGCTGAGTTTGGGATCTTCATAAAATTACGATGTTATGCAGGGTCAAAGATTGTGCGCTCAGTATTTTCATGCCCGCGCGGGCGAAATTCTTGCCGTGAAAGGAATAAAAGGGTTGTGGTACTTAATGAGCTAAATAACTTTGTCAATTGTTGATGATAATTTAATTGTATTATTTTTATTGATTGTGGTATATATCAGTAAAACGTGGTGAAAGCTTTTGTCTTGTTGTGTTGCTGAAAAATCGATATCGAAAGTTTTCTTAATAAATTTTTATGTTTAAAAAATATTTTTTTATTATGTCATGTCATTGGGTGTCCCAAATATTTATCTTCGATAACTGGACGTGAATTTGCTTAATTGACGATTATTGATTATTAGTATTTTATTAAAGAATTTGTAAGCGATCGATTAATCTTTTTCTTATTGATTTTGTTTTTTTTGTTATATTTAAAAAATTGCAAAAAATGAATATTTGTAGATCAATAATTATCAATAATGATCATATATATATCATCAATAATTGATCATACATATATGATCTTGTACAAAATTGATTTAAACTAACTATATTTGTATCTACGGTGTCCAGTGAATGTCGCAAGTATTGATCTCTGGAAACCCAATAGCTGCATCATCCAACGAACGTCTTCCGGTCGTTTTACTCCTTTTGTTAAAAATTCATGCTTATGTCTTTCACGACGAGAAGAGAAAGAAATAAGAAAAAAGAATATTGATCTCGTATGAACGAAGTCCTAAGCACGGCCGGAATACAATTTTAAAAAGCATCAGCGAGTAAGTAGATAATTTAATCAGATGTTTAACGAAAAGAAACTATCCCAGTGGATCTCTAATCTAAGGTGCAACAACATTATCTAAATTACAAAGGACTATCGAGTCCGCGTGAATGGCTACAATATATTATATATGCATATTTTGTGTATGTGTCGTGTATGTATGGGCGGTATATGTGTGGTGAAAGCATATTTGCGCACATATATGTATGTGTGTATGTTTCTGTGAGCAGGTACATTTGTTTTATGTATGGTGTACGAATGTGTCACATGGCTGTGGGTATGAATGCGGTACAAAATGAAAAGTAGGCACGCGCTTTGCACTGGGAAAATCGATAGAAAGAAAGAGAGAGAAAGAGAGAGAGAGAGAGAGAAAGAAGAAGCGAAAGCGAGAGCGAGACTGAGAAAAGGGAATGGCAGAAAAAGAAATGGAAAAATCAGGAGAGAGATAGAAAAAGAAAAACGAAAATAGGATAACTGTGCGTCGGAAATTTTGAGGCGTACGAGTTAACTGCGAATGATGAAAATGCATAAACGTGGCTGAGTGTGAGAAGAAGCGTGATTGCGTAAAGATAGGACGAGGATCATAAAGCGAATTTGAACTCGTGAGAGACTGAGTTCCGGACAATTGTATAGTTCTGCCACGGTACTGTAACAATTTATTATGTAACGACGATAATATAATACAATATAAATGATAACAAAATAAATAATTTCAAGTGGAACGATTAAATGGAAAATTTCGACTGGAGAGACGGTGGCGGTCATGTTGCGTTTACCGTGCCGTCCGAGCTTTGCTGCAAGTTGATTGTAATTAATTATTAAATATACCACTGATGTTTATTATGACTATTAAAAAATTCTTAAAATTATTATATTATATTATTATTAATATTATTATTATTATATTATCATTATTATTGTGAGCGTCACGTTAATATTATGTTATTGTTTTTATTGTGTGTTGTTTTGTATGTACCTATCAATCTATAATAATAATATTACCTACAATAATCCATACACATGTGCACACGTACAAACAGACACAGTAGAGAAACGGGGAGTAAGGAAGTAAACATATTCGCTCTTAATATTGACTTCATTTTCTGACCCACAGCAGCGGTGCCCGATCCGAAGAGAAATTTGCATTCTGTTGATACACAAATGGAAAATTTTATGTTTCCTAATTTGTCGAAAATTTTGCTATTTTAGTCTGGAATTCAGAGAATGAGTAATTTAAAATTAAAGTTATATATATATTATATGGTTGAGGCGCTGGAAAAGGAAAGTGGGATGTTAAAAAGCATCTTTTATTTTGAAAAATATTGTTTTTTTATAGAGATGTTTTTAAATATTTTTGTGACTTAATTGCTAAAATATTTTTCTGTTACTTTATATAGCGATAATAAAGTTATAACGCATCAAATTGTGTTTTTGGTACACGAAAGAAATGTAAAGATTATATTTGTATTATTTCTATGTTGTCCACAGTATTGCTCTTTACGCAGTCAAGAGCTGGTAGATCATCGATTTGCTACTTCATGTCATACTGTATATTATCATGCGCTATATCTGTAAATTATATGCGTGAATATTAATTGTTTAATGTTCCGTTTAAAAATCTCCATCCTTATATCACATATGACATAAACATATAATGAAATATTACAAATAAATTGTCATGTTTTTTTTTATTAAACTAATTTTTGTTTGACCCATTATACGCGTCAAAATAATGAAGAAAAATATTTTTGCAATCTTTTTACAATGCATTTTGACAAACGTATATACTTATTAAAATATAATGTGAATTTTTTTATATGATTTGAAACTTTATATAATTTGTTTAAAATTATTATAATTTTCTTAATTTGGAAGTTATGAAAGATATGATATAGTTTATCTGAAAGCACTCAGAGATTTGCAAAATTTTTAATTTAATCTTGTATGATATTTTAACTTTACTGTCAACGTGCGAAATTTATAATTATTTTATTTTTTACAGGATATGTTAATGAGCCTTATGTATTAAGTTTATGACTTTAATTTTTTATGCCCGTATTCACTACTTCTTTATAAAATGCAATTTTGTAAGTTTAATTTTAAGCTATTTTTTTATCTTACAAATTTTTGTGGTTAAATGCATTACGATTTTAAACAATAAAATAATATATACTTTAAATTTACAACTGCATGTTACTTAATATTATATATTACCTTCTTTTTTTACATATTTATTTATATTTTAGTGTATTTGCAATTAATAAAATATTTCAAAAAATATATATATTATTCACAATGCTTAACGTATTTGTCAAAACGTGATGCTATTTAATCCACGAAAATTTTTCAATTTAAATTTAAAAATTTAAATTTAATAACTAATATATTAAAAATATACAAGCTATGGCTTATTATTTTTATGATACAGTTAAAATTCGAAGAAAATATGGAACGCAGTAAGTGCAAAATGTTTCCTTTGATTTCAAATATGTTTTTCGAAATGTGCATCTTATTCAAATTTTTTCATTCCTGTATTTAGATATTCTCATTTTAATTGTATTTGTAATACTAAGTATGTCCATAAGGTAGAAATTATATGCTACTTGTAAATAAAACCACAAGATTATTCCTGTATCGAAGTGCAATAATAAAATATGTTATATTAGTGCCAAAGTAATTGCAGCGAAAAAAAACAAGTTCCTTCCGTGAAATGAAAATACGGCAATTATAAGTAGAAATTTCTTCATAATTTCCCTAAAATGAGTTCCGTAAATTAAATATGTTATATGTTTGTCATTTTAAATAAAATTTTGGATTGCTTTGTAACAATTTTGACGTTCGATAATTATATAATTATAGATTGTTATAGATTCTTCTAACTTCAATTTTTTGATAATTCTGTGCTTTTGTAATATAAAATAGTAATTCAAGTAAAACAAGATAGTAAAATAAGATATTTTTTACATAATTATTATTTAAACAATTTTGATATATAATTAAGGAAAGTAAATTATATCGAACGTATGTAACTGTATAACATAACTACAGATTATAATATTTTACTGTTGTACGATACTTATGCAAAAGTGTAGTAATGATTGTCACTAATATATGTTGCATTAGAGTTATTCAGAATGTTTTAAAAGAATTTAGAAAAATTAATTAATATTTAGAAAACTTAGTTAGGAGTCTATTAATTTTTACATAAAATTGTCTATATCATGCCTATGTCTATAAATTGTCATGCAAAATAGAATCGTGTGTTTAGATTTTGACAGATAACATATGGATTATATTTTTTATTTATTATAATATTTTCTCCACATTTTTCATATTTTATATTTCATATATGTTCGATACTTTTATGTATTTCATATTTTTTATATTTCGTATTTCAGAATTTCCAGATTGGTGAAGAAATGTTACAGCGGAACGTGCCTCGGTGAGTACTTACATATAAATTTATTATTGTACAATCATTGTACATTGTAAATTTATTATTGTACAATTTTTTTGTATAAATTGATGGAAATCTAGCCTAAATTACACACATATTTGAATGATAAATAATTGATCATGAATAAATTGATCATGAGAAATAATTATTAAGAGACATAATTATCGACTTAGTTACTCGTCAATTTTCTACGCGAATAATTATTTTCTGTTAGAAAATAATTTTCCATTGTTAAAATAAATTATTTTATGACGTATTCCAATTATGTGACACAAAAGTAGTTCCGAAAATACTTACAAAACTATACATAATGCGGCAAGATAAAAAGTAAGTTTGTTATTACGAATCTGAGACGGGCACCCGACTTTCTCTCGATCAAAAAAATTGGGTACTATGTCACCCGGGATATTGTTCTGTTATGAACAGCAGCTGAACCCTTCAAAATTCCACGTCTATGTCGCAAAAAATTAGAAACTTCTGTCGCAGCTTTCTAATTCGGTTGTGGCTATGCTCACATCCCCAGTTCTGTATGATACTGCGACAAGTAAAGATGTAACATCTGAGCAGAAAATCAATTGAAGTTTTATTTGTATTTAGTTAATCAATTATTTGTACTAGTTTATTATACAAATAAACTATATTTATATATTTCGTGTGAGCAACGTGAGGAAGTTATAACATGTGCAGTAAGATATGAGTGCATATAAGTTTTATACGAAGAGCTCGCAATAATTCAGCTCTATGAGAAGATTTGATTAAAAAAATGTGATTAAAGTTTTTTTCTATGAATTTATAAGTAATAAATTAACAATAATTTTTCGGATCATTGTTGCGCTGAGTGTTTCATTAATTAAACGGAATTCTATGTCGTTAAAAGTGATTATATGAATAATGTTAGTAGTGTCTTTTTAACAACATCAACAATAAGTGATATATTTGAATTATTAAATCCATAGGAACAAAATTGATTAAAATAATCATCAATGGTCACTTAAATGGTTTGTAGAGATGTGATTATCTTATTTATTTTGTAATTTATGTCGGGAGCTATAAATAATTATTTAAGAATAAATTTTAATATTATATTAAATATAGACGATTGGACAATATATGAATTTAATAATTTTACAAGGAAAAATCAATGAAATAAGAGTTTTTTTAAGTTTTATTCTTTAAATATCACTTCAATATCACTTTGTTTAATTTACCTTTGTGTATATTTTATATGCTTCAGAAAACTATTTTATTGCATTATTTGTCTAAATTATATTGTTATTTTTTTAAAACAATATTAAAAATGACGGAAACTGGTTATATTAGATTTATTAATATGATTTGTAAGACTAATATCTTATAATCAGTGTTAATAAGATTAATTCTAGATATATTTTGTCGTACTTCTTTTACAAATAATAACTTTCTCACGTTATTTGTATTAATTTAGAAAATTTTATTTTTAATTTGCTTTATTTTCTTTTTGATTAATTTTTATTAATTTTATTATATATACCTACATTTAATATTATGTCTAAAAGAATTTATGTATGCATTCCTAGTTTTATCGAAAATGGTATTTTGCAAACGTTGCGAACAAAGTTTAATTGTTTTTCTGCCTTTAATTACATCATTTGGCATACGAAGGCTAAATGTTAGTTTTCTAGCTATTTGCTCCGAGTCTCTATGCACAATGTTTTTTTCGTTAAATTTTTTTCCAATAATTATGTTTTACTGATCGCAGTGACAAAGTCCATTGCAACAAGTGCTATGTAATTATGACTCAGTTATATTGCACTGATAATAGGTCATGTGTAATACTTTTAAACAACTTTGCAGAAACAGAACTATAAGTTATAAGTTACGCATCCAAAGTTTTAAAAAAATAATTTATTATATCGCAAAAAAATGTATACTGCTTCTAAGAAAAATTAATACATATGAATTTTGAACAAAATTCTGTGTAGGATGTTTCACATGATACCATTTAATTGGCACGTTTATATTTATATAAATTTGAATAATTTGTTTGTAATTATTTCACAATTTTTAAGCAATTTTATTTGATAACAATTACCAGAATAATATACAGGGTGTTTTATAATGTCCGTGCCAACGCTCGTGTACGGATAGAGTGCGGTAAACTGAATAGAAAAGTCCTTTACCGTTTTGCAATTTTCGTAATAGTAATTGAGATAATAATTAAAAGGGATTGACGAATAATCGCGCGTTGATCGCGGCTAGATCGTAGGCTGTACGCTCTAGGCGTGACAGCAATGAGAATCGCATGGCAACGAAAAATAACAATGCATATCATTCCTGCTCTCGCTACGTGCTATTTTTCGTTGCCATGCGATCCTCGTTGTTGTCACGTTTAGAGTGTACAGCCCACGATCTAGCTACGCGCAACGCGCGATTATTCGTTAATCCCTTTTAATTAATATCTCAATTATTATTGCGAAAATTGCAAAACGGTAAAGGACTTTTCTATTCAGTTTACCGCACTCTATTCGCACACGAGCGTTGGCACGGACATTATGAAACACCCTGTATTTGAATTTTAGTATAATTAATAAAATATTATAAGTTGTCACGTTCAATACAGTAAAATAGCAAAAGGATAGAATATTCTTTAAATATTATCATGTAAAATATTATTAAGAAAAATTTAGTTTTGCATGACATAATCATTTATGCATTTAATATCAAGTCAGTGAATAATCAGTAAATAACTCAGTAAATAAATCTTATTAAAGATTGCTTATTGATCTAAATAAAAAGAAAACAATCAAATAATAAAATTTCGATAAAAACATTTTGAGCACAACAATATGTACATAAGTTTGCATAAATAATTTCTATTCGCGTCACATCAAGCACAAAATCATAGAAAAAACTACAAAGTAGCTATTGTCGGTCGTCTGTTGTGCTAATAAAATTTTTATGGCGATAAAAGTTAATCTCTTAGATTTGCATTAATTATAAAATAAATTTCGTGGATGAATTTTTTCGTGCGATTTGGCCGTGCCGAAAGATAATTTGTATCATTCGAGCGGGAGTTACGATCTACAACATTGTTCGAAAAATAACCAATAAGAAGCTCCCGGATTCTCTCCTAATAAAAGGTTGACGGGAACGTCCTTCTCGGAAAGTTGGTGGGGCCGGTTCTAAGACGGCAAGAAAAATATCCGCCCCTCGCGCAGCCTCCTATTCGGCGCCAACTTGGTGCAACTACTACCATGAGTATCGTGCCAGTTACATGGCTTCGCGTGAAACACGAGCCAGGCTTTCAGAGAGAGGTAGAAATCGACTTATCTGTAGCTCAGTTTTGTCGTTCCACTCAAATTGAATTCCACGACGTTACGGGTCGACTCGCGTACCGACTTTTCCATTTTCTCCGTAGATTAGTGCGCCCTGAGTTATTATCATATCCGATATGTTACGTGGAAGTATGGAGAGATAAAAGTTTCTCGACACACAAAAATAATTTCAAGTTTTCACGTTTCTCCCGTTTCTCCTGTTTGCGATATATCGCGACTTGATGTAGTTTTGCAATTTTATTCAGATTGCGCGTTAGTCTGCGGAAAAGCAATTTTCTGCCTGGATTGTAAAACGGGAAAAGTATGAGATATGCTGCAGTATTTGTAGCATTGCTTGATGGAATTTTTGAGATTGACGAAAAGCACGATATATTTTACTTGTTTATTTGAATGCAGCTTCTGCTGTATGCAGGAATCTACATTAATTGATTCTCTCTTGTTATATCATTTATAATTATTTTAAAAATAATTCATTTCTATTTAACATAAAAGTATAGTTAACCTTTAATACTTATATCTTACATTTATTAACAACATACAAAAATTGTTTTAATAATATTAATGATATTCTGTCACTCTGAGATATAATTTGATATTTGGTTAAAAAATAATTTTAGCAAGCTGCTTATTTGCGTAATTATTTTTATAATATAATTTCTGTCCTGAATTCGATTAAAATTTTTTTCTATTTATTGTTTATTATAAATATAATAAAACGTTATTTTTATATACGTACGGATATTTGTACATTAATTAGCAAAACATTTTAACAAAAATGCTAATAATCAAACAATTTTTTACTTACTTTTATTTAAGATAAGAATTACAATTTTTATGTCGAAGAACTTTCGGAGCAGAAAGAAATAACCAAGTACATTATGAGAAAACATTTGCCAGTTCCTTTTGGTAACGCTTTACTATTACTTAAGTTTCGCCCACTCACGTATTGGGGCTGGCAATTCCATTAGGAGGATAGACGATTGTCGGGGCAAGAGGGAGAGGGAAAGAATAATTCGACCATATCTCAAATTCCGGTCGAACGAGTAACGAGCTAAATTGAGACGTTGCCCAACTGCTCTCCGGTTTTTTTATTTCTAGTTGACTAGACGAGGGGGATTGCAGTAAACGTATTATGATTTTATTATAGTTTGTAGATTAACACGTGCGTAAATGAGACTCGAACAAACATGTTGATCGCCATTGTTGCTTTGGATGATCATGGTTGCTGCTGACAGAAAATTTCGATGATAGAAACTTGTTATATATATAATCTTGACAAAACAAATAAAATGTGAAGAATGCGAAATAAAAATTGAGTATATTTGCGTTCAGAAAGTACAAGAAATAGACATGGTTCTCAGCGAAATTTTATTAAATATGAAATAACTGAAATATGATAACGCTAGCTAAATATTTTTTTCTTTTCCGTAATTTTTTTTCTTTGTCAAGAATTAAAATATGAAAAAATAATAGTATTTTTGAAAAATGTAGACAAGTTTGTGAGATAAATTATCACACGAAGCAAAATGACATTTGTATAAATTTAAAATATCGCATTGTTTGATAAAAACTTCTTCGGGTATTTTCTGGTTGCACGATGAACGAAATATTTGCATACGGTTCTTCTTAATATAACGGATATTTATGATTTGCTTAGAGATATAACTTTAT